CAGACAGACACTGTAGATCAGACAGACAGACAGACACTGTAGATCTGTAGATCAGACAGACACTGTAGATCAGACAGACAGACACTGTACATTATACAGACAGACAGACAGACAGATAGATACTGTAGATTAGGCAGACAGACAGACAGACAGACAGACACTAAAATAGATAATGTAGATTATACAGACAGACAGATACTGTAGATTAGACAGACAGACAGATAGATACTATATAGATACTGTAGATTAGACAGATAGATACTAGATAGATACTGTAGATTATACAGACAGACACTGTAGATTAGACAGACAGATAGATACCAGACAGACAGACAGATAGATATTGTGTATATGTTCTGCTTTTAGCACATGATGGTGCACATTTGCTATAGAAGCAGGATGACTCACATCAGATGTTGGCTCAACCTCAATTTGTAGCAAGGGACTCCCTTTGGTACTGTGAGAAGAGAAACAGAACATGTGTTTGCTCAGGGAGGGTCATTTACCTCAGCAGAACGAACCGATGTTTCATTTTCAAGGACCTATAATCTCATTTAAATCCATTGTTTACTTTATGCCATCTGAAAGGATCACACAAAAAATTATGCATGTTCACCTTCATATTTTTAGCTTGAACAAAAGCTGTTCAGACAAGCTCTGCTTAGTGTGCTGCCTACATAAAATAAAATAAAATAAAATAGGAGATTTAAAATTTAAAATTGACCCTGGATGACACTCTATTACATGTCTGTGGTAAGAAATGTGTTTGTTAATACACTCTGACCCTTGTTTGGGTTGAAAAATATGTGAGGACAGTGCTGGAAAGAGCTATCAGTCCATGTATGCATACATGCCTGTTAACAATTTTACTCTACAGCTATCAAACAACTAATGTCAGCTGCATTGTAATTCTCCATAATGAAAACATACTGCTGTCTGAACTACAGAAACTAATATCCAGTTGTTGTTGTTTTTTTGTAGTTAATGCATCTTGATTCAGTTAATTAAAAATAGTATTTTTCTTTATGGGTCTCTGAGTTTTTCAAAACATTCATGGATACGCTTGACATCACTGTAGCGTAAACTCAAGCCCCACTCTTTGTTTATCCCAAGTTTGTGTGTGTGTGACTTGTCTTCAGTCACATCAGCTTTTGCACCACAAATATTTTTGCTCTAATAATTCTGTAATCTAAAATGCTCATATCTGCCATAAATAGACAAAAGCCTTGGCAAAACTGTCTGACATGTCTGTGGCCTTTCACTGGGCATCGCTCTAAATACACACACAAACACACAAAGTACAGGACAGAACATGACATTTCAGACACATTTGTATACTAATAAACAACGTTAAGTGGTCTTGGCATGTCATTATATGTCACAAAAGAGATAATTTTTAGTGAAGTGACATGTGGCCAAGTATGGTGACCCATACTAGGAATTAGTGCTCTGCATTTACCCATCCAAAGTGCACACACACAGCAGTGAACACACACACACAGCAGTGAACACACACCCGGAGCAGTGGGCAGCCATTTTTTGCTGCAGCGCCCGGGGAGCAGTTGGGGGTTCGGTGCCTTGCTCAAGGGCACCTCAGTCGTGGTATTGAAGGTGGGAGAGAGCGCTGTACATTCACTCCCCCCACCTACAATCCCTGCCGGTACGAGACTCGAACCCGCAACCTTTGGGTTACGAGTCCGACTCTCTAACCATTACGCCACGACTTGCACATTTTACAGCATTTGACCTCCATCTAAAGGAGCAATAGAGCATCATAACTACATTTTATGCTACTAATTTTTGCATTCAGATAATGGGACCTTAATTGTAAAGTGTTACCATGATATTTAGTCACCATTATTGATTTACATGCATTTGCACTTTAGTTCCAAATCCAAGTGAGCTCTACATAGACAGACTGATGTCATCATGTTTAAATGCGTTCTAAAATGTCAAATCAACAAACTCACATACAAATAAACACGCACACACTTACCCAGGTTCAGACAGAACAGGGTGTAGAATGACTTGAGGGGCCCTGGTGGGAGCCTCAGGGGCCACATCTACAAAGAGAAAGTGAGACGGTAAGTCACAAGGCAAAGATGAGAGAGAAAATGACATAATTTGTAAAAGAGTGTATTATTATAGACTAAGTTCATCACAACATGCAGGAGTACTGCTGAGAACAACAACTCTGATTTACACCAAAACAGAAGCCGTTTACACTGAGGAAAAAAAATTTGATGTAGAAACTATTTTTATTCAGAAAATTTTATTTTCTTGAAAAACACACTCCAAAAATCTTCAAATAAACATTCTTTAAAAGAAAAAAAGAACTCAACTAATGTTCTACATGTACTTATACTACACAAACATCTGAAGCCATTCACTGCGGTTTAAAAATTTGTGGTCGATACGTTTTTTTGGAAAGAAATGAAATGTTTATTCACTGAGGATGGAACTGAGGAAGTAAAAACCTTTCATGTTTAAATAAATGTTGTTCCTAAAATCACAGTTGCCACAAAAATATTAATCAGCACAATTGTTTTCAATCATTGATAATAAGAAATGTTACTTCAGTGCCAAATCAGCATATTAGAATGATTTCTGAAGGATCATGTGACACTGAAGACTGGAGTAATGATGCTGAAAATTCAGCTTTGCATCACATGAATAAATTAGATTAGAAATTAGAAAACTTTGTAATAATATTTCTCAATATTACCAATTTTACTGCATTTTTGATCAAATAAATGCAGCCACAGTGAGCATAAGAGACTTCCTTTGAAAAACTCTTACTGACCTTAATCTTTTGAACAGTAGTGAGTGCATACATGTATATATATTATTTACTGTTGTTCCAGGCAACAGATTTCCTACATAGCTGTAGGAAAGATTTTATACATAATATAAACAATCCAAACAACCAATTTATTTTTGTTAGCAAGCAACATGCTGCACTGTCAGCCACGATCCCTTACATACTACACAAATATATGATGCTATATTGTTAGGAAAGATGAAACCCTAGAGGATTCTCATTTAACAAACACTTTCCATTAAAACAAACAAATTGTTTTACCTAATGGACAAAGCTGGCCGTGTGTTCCACTCAATATTACCAATTTTACTGCATTTTTGATCAAATAAATTGATCTTTGAAAAACTCTTACTGACCTTAAACTTTTGAACAGTAGTGAGTGCATACATGTATACTGTATATATTATTTACTGTTGTTCCTGGCAACAGATTTCCTACATAGCTGTAGGAAAGATTTTATACATAATATAAACAATCCAAACAACCAATTTATTTTTGTTAGCAAGCAACATGCTGCACTGTCAGCCACGATCCCTTACATACTACACAAATATATGATGCTATATTGTTAGGAAAGATGAAACCCTAGAGGATTCTCATTTAACAAACACTTTCCATTAAAACAAACAAATTGTTTTACCTAATGGACAAAGCTGGCCGTGTGTTCCCTGCTGTAAGGTACAATGGTGACTGATCTCAGCAGCTCACCTCTACATTGGAATAAACTGGCAAAATTGGCATCAATAGCCTTTATTCTAAACTATCAGGCTACCAACCCAACATGGCTTTCCTCCCTCCACACGTTCATCAAAAACATGCAGCAAGCTGAGTGTCTCCCACAGAATACAGGCACTTATCAGCCTTTATTTGTCAGCGAGGCGCAGGTGACCTCGTCTTTAAAAGAACCATCATTAGACAAAGCATTGCTGGTTAAGAGACAAGAAGAGCAAAGAAAGACAGAGGGAGAGGGAGGGGGTTTGTTGCGCCTCAAAGAAAAGACGGCATAAAAAAATGACATCAAAAAAGTTTGCCTCGGCATGTCGCACTGCATTATGGGTAGGGGTAATGACCAATTATGACACACTTACCAGGGAAGATGAACTGCTGCTTGAATTTGTAGAAATGAGATGCTGAGAAAAGCACAGGAGAGAAGCAGACAGAATTCAATCAAATTCAACTAATTATGACACACTTACCAGGGAAGATGAACTGCTGCTTGAATTTGTAGAAATGAGATGCTAAGAAAAGCACAGGAGAGAAGCAGACAGAATTCAATCAAATTCAACACACCCCCGGATGCTTATTGGTCTGTGTTATTGTTCTGCAAAATCCATCACAAAGATGCATTTGCCATAAATAGTGACTTATAGGATACACAAGGGTCCAAAAGTCTGAAACCACACTGAAAATCTGAGATTCAACGTTTAATAAAGAAAAATAAAGAGAAGGTAACAGAACATTTTATGATTTTTGAAAAATGTATAACAAAGAAATGTTGTGATTTAAATGTTTAATATTTAAATATTCAGATTTCTGCACTGTTATCACTAATCAAATTCAGGATGTCATGTGAACTCAAATTTTCTGGCACAGGATGTTCTTTGGCTCATTCTTCACAAACTTGAGGAGTTCATGTCAGTGAGACTGCTGCTTAAAATTAAGTGCTGTCATAACTGAAAAGCGGGACATTCAAAACAGAACTCCAGACCATGATTTGAATGATTGCAAATGCACTAGGAAATTAAAATGGCACAAGTGCAACAATTGTAGAGTCTGGTTGCCGTTGGCAACATTTGAGAAAGCTTTGTGTGTGTCAGTATAAGCGGATAAGTTTTCTCTCCCATAGAAAAGCGTGCTTAACGTGGCTTAAAAAGTGATAAAAACACGTGAAACTGCGCATTCCATTCTGGGCTCATCTGCTTTTCTGTGTATGAACCACTGCAAGCTGCAAAGTAAGCAGGAAGAGTTTGTGCGAACTCAAGAGAATGCAAATATCTTTGCGAGAGAACGCAAAAGTTTTGCGAGGGAATGCAAGGTTTCTCAAGGGAACGTAAAAGGTTTTGTGAGAGAACGCTACACATTTGTAAAATATTGTTTCCTCCCACCCCGATTTTTTTCCACTACCATGTCCTTTTAGGGGCTCTGTAGGCCTACAGGTAGTGATGTCCGATTTGTGGGGTGGATGTCACCATTTGAACTGGTTTTTATTAATGTGTCAGTCAAAAGATTCAAAACCAGTGCAAGTTAGCAGTCTGAATCAAACTCAGTCAGTGAATCGTTTAGAGCTCACAACTAACACGGTTCAGCACAGTACAATTGCTACAGTACCTGTGCTCAACTGTGCCTGTAGTGAAATGATGATGGCTTTCTAGTATAACTCAGCATTTCTACAAGCCTTTCTCACAGCAATGTAGGTTATGCTAACTAACTCATTAAAACAGATACAATACATCAATGTACTGTACTAACCATTTAATACTATGTATGTTTAATACTAAATATCCTTTTAAGCAAGTCTTTCATACTCTTTTACTTTCAATATGATGTGATGATCCACCGTAGCCCGCTTGCATCAATTAACATTATAATAGTTTTAATTTTACCTAAAGTATCATGCTGTTGCTCTTAAATCACAAACGTTACATACGCTATAATAATGATATTTGCAGAATCACTTTTTGTAGTTTTGAGACCAGTTTGGCCAATGGTCGAAAAAGTGTTTTGTTTATTTTTTCCAAAAAGGCAGAAATACTATAACAAAATAGATTGATATTGATACTGTATATGGCACAAATAAGGATCATTAGAGTACAGCACTAAAATGGACCAATTTATACTTCATAAAGTCCTTACATATCATTTAAATCATCCTTGTTATTATACAAATCATTATTTCCATATTTTTTTTCCTGAAGCTCAGCCATATACTAAGAGAGTCTAAAATCCACTCAAATGCATTGATATATTTTCTAATTAAATAGTTTTATTAACATACAGAAATGATAAACATAAGCTTTGTATTTATTCCTTGTGCAGTGCTGAAAATGACAAATGTCAAAAAAAATTTAATTGCTTACAAATCTCTTATTATGCTACAGCATATTATCACCAAATCTTTGATTCAATCTTTTTGTCAAGTCGTTTTCTTTTCAATTATTTCAATTCAATTTGTTCTTTTTGAGACTTATTGAACATAGGCCTCATTGATCTGAGCCTATGCGCCCTATTTTCAGAGTAAAACAAAAAACAAAAAAACATTTTTGGATAATTTTGGCAAAATTCACTCAAACTAAGCTCAGTTCACTGAAGCCTATGATCAATCAGTTTCAAAAAGAAATAAAAAAAAACTATGCTAATAGAAAGAAAACAACGTGATAAAAGGATTTAATCTAATATTTTGTAATACTGTATAAAAAGACATTTATAAGTAAATTGTGTAATAAGGTGTAATAATTATCTTTTTTGTGTGTGAAGATACCATATGTGAGCAAATCAGTAGGTGTTAGTCCAATGTGATAATATTAACTAGCATTTTCAGCTAAATAAAATTAATAAAAATCTCTGGGTCAAAATACAGTTAATAACAGTTTAAGCATTAAGCAATTATTATTTGAAATTCTGTAGAAAAGATTCTGCAGAATCATTAAGTTAGGCACAGTTTTACAGAATTAACAACAAAGTATAAGCATATGTTTTGGGTCGGTACCTGTAAGGTTGGACTGTTTCTGCTGTCTGGCGCTCTGTGGGGAAGGGTGCAGAGGAGATGGGGGCGTCGCGCTGGGCGGCAGAGGGGGTGCAGGAGACGACGGGGTGGAGGAAGTGGTTGAGGAGGGGTTACTGCTGGAGTCGGGCTGATACGGCACAGGGATGTGGTCCTGAAACAGATACAGTCAAACCTTTGGTAACACACAAAAACACTCCCTACTCTCTGCTCATTACCAGCGCGGTCAGACATCAGTAAACCCGGCTTCATTCTCACGGTCAGTTAAACATTCATCCAAAACCAGGGGTGTGGTGGCTGTAGACCTGATCTCCCATGGGCTGAAAACTGGACAGCCGTGCTACGTTTGAAAACACTGCCCAATGTCGTGTTAGAAAGAGGAGCACATCAAAAGCCAGCAGTGTTGTCATAAAGCATGATTGAGTGGCATATGAATTTGAGAAGACAACAGAAAGTCAAAAAAATGTCAAGACTCTATGCTCTGCCAGTCATTAAAAGGCTTTTTGACTTCTATTTTTGCTGCTCAAGTGTCACAAATTGAGTCTGAGGTTTTGGGGAAAACAAAAGTTATCAAATATAATGCAATATAAAACCAACTGCATTTGAGATGAACAATAACAATTAGCTCATAAGTTTTAAAGCTGTAATGTCAGATGATTGTCATGCGGTCGTGGTTGTAGTAGGAGCACACGAGGAAGGAGAAAACATAGGGATACTTTAATGAACATCAACACACAATAACCGTTGAAAATAACATTAATCCAGGACAAAGGAATGACCGAAACTGAGGGCTAATAAAGGGCAGGCAACTAAGGAGAAACGAGATGATTAATACAACGCAGGTTTGTTAACTAAATGAGCAGGAAATGAACCAAATAGGGGCAAACAGGAACTAGACAAAAATGTACACATGACAGATCAAACCCCCCCCCCCCCCCCTCCCGGACGGCTCGTCCAGCGCCGTAACAGTACCATCGGAGCGGGCGCCCTGGAGACTGGTGCAGGACTGGAACAGGGCGGAGACAAGGAGAGCCTCCAGGGCAGATCAGGAAGCCATGGCGGAGCAGACAGTTCCGGGAGCCATGGCGGATCAGGAGACTCAGGAGGCCATGGCGCCCCCCCCCCCCAAAAAAATTTTCTTGGGGAAAACTAGGAATTCTGGAGGGCGCGCTGGAGGAGCGGGCACTTGAGGGCGTTCTGGAGGAGATTCAGAGACTGTAGCCCTCCTTGGGCTAAGCACGGGGACAGGAGCCCTCACTGGGCTAAACTCAGGGACAGGAACCCTCACTGGGCTAAACGAGGAATCAGGAGTCATCCCTGGGCTAAACGAGGAATCAGGAGACCTTCCTGGGCTAATCGAGGAATCAGGAGACCTTCCTGGGCTAATCGAGGAATCAGGAGCCCTCCCTGGGCTAAACGAGGAATCAGGACCCCTTCCTGGGCTAAACGAGGAATCAGGAGCCCTCCCTGGGCTTAACTGGGGATCAGGAGTCCTCCCTGGGCTAAACGAGGAATCAGGAGCCCTCCCTGGGCTTAACTGGAGATACGGAGCCCTCCCTGGGCTAAACGGGGAATCTGGGAAGCGCTTACGAGGTGCTGGCACTGGAGGGCGCTCTGGAGGAGCAGGCACAACAAGGCGCTTTCAAGGAGCGGGCACTGGAGCGAACTCGGGGGCTGGAGCCGACAATGGAGCGAGCTCTGGGGCTGGAGCCGACACTGGAGCGAGCTCGGGGGCTGGAGCCGACAATGTTTAGTCATTACTTTTGTTTCATACAGTTTAGTTTACTTAATGTTTTAGTCATTGTATTCTGTGTTTTCGTAATTTTTAGCTGTTTTGTTTGTATATGTCTATATAGTTTTGTCAGTTTTATATTTTATGATATTTTATGTCAGCTTTAATTTGATTATTTTAGCACATCAAGTTAAACTAAATTAAAATGGGAACTGTCGGCAACTAACTAGTTTTTATGTTATTTCAATAAACATTTTTTTTTATTTCAAGTAACAAGATTTTTTATTTTGGGTTTTAGTTTAGTTTCAGTCTTAGTTTTAGTTAACTATAGTAACCCTAAAGTTAACTACAAATTCTTAATTCCATGTCATATTTATTCCACAAATTCACAACTTTGATAAATATATTGGAAATGAATTATCAAACACATTGTAGCAGCATACTGTTTTTTTAACACACTCTTTTTTAGTTACATATAACCAACTGGTCTGAAGGTGATTTTTAGTGGATTTATGAAGTCAGTTCCCTTTCAGTCGGTCACTCTCGACGTCACGTCGGAGGACTGACGAAATTGGGATCTCGCTTAGAGGGCACACAAGTTCTAGCAGCATTTATGCCATCATGAAGTGCGTGCTCACACACACACAGGACGTATTTTTGCATTTAAAAACAGCTAGATGGAGCGCAGTAGAATGGAATTTAATGTAAGGATCCCCAGACACGATTTTTAAAAGTAGACTTGACATGGTGTGTTAAAAATGTCACGCTCATCCTGTCGTGCCTTGGTTTGCAATAAACATATAAGAAAACCACGAGTGGCAAATATTACAGGAAGACTGTTTGATGTTGGTCTGCAAAAATTGCTTTTCATGCCAAGTTGTTTGAATAAAAAGTGAAAGCAAACAACTTTCAGGAAGGACTTATAATGCCAATCTGCCCGAGATAGTTTTGTAATAATGTTGACCGGGAGGGATGTAACAGGGTTGAGTTGTGTTTGTTCAGACGTAATGGAACGTAACTAATCTTACCTTGTTGATTTTGTTGGTCTTGGGGAGAGTCTGGCTAATGTGGAGGTCTGAGTACCTGAGGGGGTTGTTTATGTCACATGGTACTGACTCGGTCCTGACGAGCTGACGAGCTGAGAAAGAGGGCGAGAGAAACAGCATAGTATCCACGGTAACAGGAGGCAGTTGTCACGGTAACAGAAAAACTCTTAAAAGTCTTGTCACATTTTAATGGAGGAGCCACTAAACCATGTATTATGTACAGTATATATTAGAAATATCACATATATGACACACATGGAAATTCGACAGCAACGACCAGGTTGTGTAGAATATCATTGTTCACTTTTTCCAGCAAGGAAGAACAAATCTTTGTGTATTTCATATGCATAATAGCATATCATTTCATATTAAGGATCCATTAAATTGAAGCATGTAAATAAGACACATTAAATTAAATTTGGAAGTAGTCATTTATATGTAACTCAATACATATAATTTCCTAAAGTTAGTATAATTTCCTAACAGACCGATTCTGAAAGTGCTTCACATTAAATCAGCCTAACAAAATTGGCTTATATACCATACACTACAGCTCAAAAGATTGGGTTCAGTGAATTTTTTTAACGAAATTATTATTTTTATTCAGTCAGCACACACACAATTGTTGAAAAGTGACAGTAAAGACATTTAAAATGTTACAAAAGATTTCTATTGCAAATACATGCTGTTCTTTTGAACTTTCCATTCATCACAGTCTTGAAAAAAATATTTGTAAAAAATGTTTTCAACATTAATAACAGGAAATGCTTGAGCAGCAAATCTGCATATTAGAATGATTTCGGAAGGATCATGTGACACTGAAGCCTGGAGAAATGATCCTGAAAATTGCAGCATTGCATCACAAGAATGCATTAAAATAGAAAATGCATTAAAATAGAAAATGGCTATTTTAAATTGTAATATTATTTCACAATATTACTGTTTTATTGTATTTTTATCACATAAATGCGGCCTTGGTAAAAAAAAAAAAATAAGAGACTTCATTTAAAAACATTTAAAAATCCTACCAACCCCAAACTTTTGAACGGTAGAATACATTTATTTTCATATGACATATGAAACCATTCCAGGGAAAACTTTTAGGTATGAAGTAGGAAATACTGTGTTTGAGGAGCACAAACCTGCTTCCTTACCTTGAGATGTTCCTTGATCTGCAATATCAGAAATGAGGGAAAGATGAAGTGGTGAAAACAGAAAAAGAGAGCAAGGATAAGATGAGTGCAGACTGAAGATTATAATGTTTAACAAAGAACAAGACAAACTGTTTAGTACATTTATGCAAAGCAGATGTGAAGCCACTAACAATTACAGTTTTTTTTTTTTAAATACATTCAATTCCCTTTAAACACATTCTCTTGTTTGGAAACCAATTTTCAAAACGCAATGTTTTCTGAAAAAGATAAAGCTTGTAATTAAATATGTTCAATTGAATATAAAAGAATTGTGAGGTTGAAAACATGTTATGTATAAGAACACTGCTGTGTCTGAAATCATATTTGAATCATAATTAATGGCCTGCCTTGTGTAGTACATTTTGTTTTAAGCATTTATGGAGTTAAAAAAAAAGAAAGAAAGAAAACATAAAAGTTGAAATACCTCTGAATGAGTCCCTACCTCCTCTGTGGTATATGAGTAAATGACAGGGCGGTGCTTCTTTGGTGCATTTGTTGTGGCACTTCAATCTGACAAAAGAAAGCATGACAGAAATGTTTATTAGTTTTGCTCTTGTAAAAGCAAATCAATGAATATTCAAAACAAACACTTAATATGCAGCCATTATTTTGAGGGTGTCAAAAGCCAGCAAGTATCGTAGTAACAAGATGCCGTAGTCAAGGGTGGTAGAGTGGAAACTATTAGGCAGGTAATTTATTCAAATAATCTTTTAATGATAATTATGCTCAATTTGAATGTTCAGACACTACTGCAGGCACAAAGTGTCTAGCACTGAATTCTAAAGAGGCTGTGATGCAAACAAAAACATCAAATCACAGCTTCACAAAGCTGAAATGTTAGGAATTTTTGTTTTCAGAGATTTGAGTTGTTATAAGAGAGATGGTTAAAGAAATGATCATAGATAGTGGAGTGTGTATTTAACATTTGACATTTATAGTCTGCATGCTGTGATTCAGTCTGTAATTTCAGCATCAGACAGCATTACAAAAATAACTAGATTTTTATCATCTTTTGATCTTTAAAGAAACTTAAGTGATGTTTGTTGATGCAAAGCGCATCACAACGATTGCTTAGGATTGCTAAAAGTTCTTTTTATATATATGATTACATATTATTTTATGTATTATATATATGTATTATATAACATATATTATTATATGTATTATCACCATATCATTTCAGCTTTTTTATCTCATAATTATGACTTTGTATCTTAGAATTTTTATGTTTTATCTCATAATTATGACTACATAATTATTTCAACATTTTGTCATAATTTCAACTTATTTACTTTATTTATTTTCAACTTACTTATTGGTTTATATTATATTTTCTACTTTTTATCTCATAATTATTTCAACTTTTTTTTAGAATTGTTTTATATTATATTTTCAATTTTCTGTCTCATAGTTTTGACTTAGTATCATCTTATGATTTCAACGTTTTATCTCATAATCATGACTACAAATTATGATTTCAAACTTTTGTCATAATTGTCATCATTTAAACTTTTTATCTCATAATAACTTTTTGTCATAATTTCAACTTTGTTATAATGGTTTTGTATGATCATTTTCACTTTGCTCTCATAAATATGACTTAGTATCTCATAATTTCAATATTTTATCACATAATTATGACTATATAATAGTTCAACTTCTTGTCATAACTCTTTTTTGTCATAATTTCAACTTTTTGTTATAATGGTTTTACATTATATTTTCAACTTCTTATCTCAATTATGACTTAGTACCTAATAAATGTAACATTTTATCTAATAATTATGAATACATAATCATTTCAACCTTTTGTCATACTGTAGTTGTTTGTCATAATTTAAACTTTTTATCTCATAATTCTGACTACATAATTATTTAAACTTTTTGTCATAACTGTTTTTGTCATAATTTCAACTTTTTGTTATAACTGCTTTATATTATCATTTCAAAAGTTATGACTTAGTATCTTCTCATCATTTCAACTTTTCATGTCATATTATAATTTATAAAAGCAGAATTTGTTTTCTTATGTGGCAGAAATGGGTTTCCATATGAGAGTTTTAGCACTTGCATGATTTGCAGAAACATGATTTATTTTCTTACGTTGCAGAAATGGGTTCCCATACAAAAATTGTAGAACTTACTTGCAGTTTTTGCATTTTAAGCCGAACAGCATTCCTTTCCCGCACACGATACATGTCTGCGACATCCAATACTTTGTGGAAAACCTGCACAAGCACAAATAAGTAGTGTGATTCATTACTGAGCCATTATTTAGACTTTTTCCAAGAAAAAAAACTCTAATTTCATCCATTTTTAAAATGCATGAGGCCATATGGGTTTGTTTCGCTTCGCTGTCAAACTATCAGCAGATGGTTCTGACCTTTTGACAACCACTCCTAAACTCTTCAGATGAAAGAGCGAATGTGTCACTACAGCGATCACGTTTGCCAAGTAACCTTTTCATCTATAGACAGATTTGTGCAGGGTATGCCCAAAGATAGGCACTTTGGCAGTAATTCTCAATTTAGAGTAATTTAATTGTAACCGAGTATCTCTCAATATCTCTTTGGCACTCAACTGCACTTGACAAATACAAGAGAGGGCAAAGGCCGTACGGATGCATCAGCGATTGTTTAGCAGAATTGCATGGAAGGTGCTCTCTGTATTTTTCATTTCTTCTATCACTATCACTTTTTGTTTACACACAGTCATATCTGCCGTTCTCCACAATAAAAGAGCCATTCAAATCTCCTGCAATAGAGTTCCTCTGAAGGGTCACTGTGCATTTGCCAATCTATTTCTCTGATATGAACAGAAGCTGACAGTTAATAGAATATGACTAATGGGCTATGACAGTGTCAAAGTGTCTTCATTAGATTGAAGCCATACTGTCTCATAAAAGAAGAGGCTGGCTTTAGTACACAGCTCACATCACCGTAGCCAGTCTGAAGTTGATATGAGCGTTTCAATTTTTTTGGATCTGTTTATCTGCTTGCTTTTTGAAACTGGCAGTTGTCCATCTATGATGACATGTAGACGTTGATTTCCACGTCTAAAGTACTAGGAAAATGAGACATTTTTTAGCCTTGGTGAACTTTGCATATGTTTTGATGGCTAAGCTACACTATGCTCTCATTAAAAACCCTGTTAACTTTTATCACAAAAGCACAGTGTTTCGTGGTCTAAGTACAAACGCAGGCTCTTTGTTTGACTTGGGATCGGTGGTATTTGGGGTTATCATGTCATCAGATTTGAGTAGGCATGACTAGAGTTGCACAACCATACGAGTTAATTGGCTTGACATTTTGTAACCACTACCACACATTCACATCGGCACAAAACTTACCTGTGTTTTATGGAGTTGCCAAGGTCTCTGCGAGGTATTTGAGGAGACCAGCAAGGAACAGACAGAGTATCTGGAACAGAATTGTGATTGGGTCAGACTCAGGAAAACAGGATTAATGCTTGTAAACAAAGAATTAAAACCTCAAATAACTATAATAAACCTTCAAATCACTTTCATTAAGAAGATAAAAGAAGTATTATAAATCCTGGATGAGCTATAAAGTGGTTATTAAAAAGCAACAAGTTACAAGAAGCCATACACATGATTTTACCATAGTTAAGAGCTTTTCTATATAATGAAACATTTTTAATAAATTGTTTTAAATGTAAATATTGTAATATTGTAATACATTTACACTATCATTAGTGTCAGATTTTTTTAAAGAAATTAATATTGTTGTTATTTTTTTCAGCTTTTATTAATTTTTATTTTAAGAATGCATTAAATAGATCAAAGGTGACAGTAAAGACAATTATACAAGATGTTTCCAAAATATTTCTATTTGAAATAAATACAGTTTTTCTATTCATCCTGAATAAATAAAAAGAAGATTTTTATGTTTTCCATAAAAATAATTTGCAACACAACTGTTTTCAGCACTGATAATAATAAGAAATTACATTTCAAAATATAAAATAAAATATAAACATAAAATAGTTGGAGTTATTTCAAATTGTAACAATTACAATTATTTTGAACTAAATAATTGTCACTACCATTCACAAGTTGTGGTCGGTAAGTTTTTTTTAAATGTTTTTGGAAGTCTCTCTTCTATTTGATTAGAAATACAGTAAGATACTGTATTTCTAATCAAATAGAAGAGAGACTTCCAAAAACATTTTAAAAAAACTTACCGACCACAACTTGTGAATAGTAGTGACTTCCTTATCATTTTATTAGAAAAAACACTATATTTAATATATAAATCCTTAAATGCTTAAAAAGATTAATCAAATAAAATTTGAAGAATTTAAATATGATGTCTTCTGTCATCATTCAAATGGACAAGATCTGATAAAACCTAAATGGAGACTTGTAAGACAATAATCGCATTTGCTTCCCACAGCACTGTTAGTTCAAAAGGCCATTCATCAGATTGTCCACGCTCAATTATACTCCATTTATTTATGATTACGAGATACGAGGACAAGCACACATGCACACACACACACACACTCACGATAATCTGCTCTGCCTTATTCTCAAAGCTTAAAATACTGTATGAAAAAATATGAGGAGCCTTGCATTCATTACCTGCCTCATAGTCTGCCTTTGATTGCATCAACTTATATATTCACTTGAGATTCCTGATGACTGCCTCTGTCAATGTGCATTGCTTGATGCTTATATCAAATATGGATGTCTCTATTGTGACCTCAGCATTCTGCTCGGCTGGTTCTTTCAGGTGGATCAGGATGAACACGGAGTTCCGAATTAGATCAGAGCTTTGATATGATCTTTGTTCTGAGGTGCTGGACTTCTTCTGAATCACGAGTGATCTTGAGGGGAAAAACAGCATAAATATATGAGTGTTTTTCCGACTATGTGCACGTTAATGGCCCAGGGGTTGATTTTTATCAAAACTTACAGACAAATTTAAACTTTTTATTATATGACGCTCGCATTAAAACTTTTTACCTTTTACTTTAGCTACTTTTCAGATTCTTTTTCTATATAGATTTGATTTTACTCTTGCCCCAGTCCCAGACTTTCAATCTTTGTGTATGAAAATATCCATTATACAATATCATATTATAGAAGCTCTGATATCTTCTGAAGCTTGCTTCCATCATAGGATAAAAGAAAATAATAATAACAAAGGTAATTGTGACTTTTTATATCACAATTCGGATACTTTTTCCTCACAATTCTGAGTTTATATCTCGTAATTCACATTTTTTTCTTGAGAATTGCGAGACAAACTCAAAATAGTGAGATGAAAATTATGACATAAAAATAGTCAATTACATTTTCTATCTTTTATTCCATGGTGGAAACAGAAAGAAAAAAAACAGAATTGCGAGAACTCAGAATTCAGAGATAAAAAAGTAAATATTGTGATACATAAACTCAGAATTCAGATAAAAGTCAGAATTCTCCATTTACATTAAATTATAATTGTGTCTCTTTTTGTCTCACAATTGAGACTTTTTTTCTCTCGCAATTCTGAGAAAAAAATCTGAATTGCGAGAGGAAAAAAAGTCTAATTTGTGAGACAAGTCACAATTACCTTTTTAATTTATTCACGATTTTTACACAAATTATGAAATTATGACTAAAATTTCCAAATAAAATCGAATCAAACATTTGTTTAAAATGTCATACTTCCATCAAGCACAAAGCATAATTTGAGTCGAGAAAAAAATGACATTGCAGTGGAAGGCAGATGAACAAATTCTCAATTTTACTACTAAAATCAATCTAATTTTCTAGAGGCTGTACCTTTAAAACACTGGATTACTGTTATTTTACTCAAATGTTATCATTACCACACATAGGAAACACCATATTTAAGTTGCCGTGAATAAAAACAAGCACAAAGTGAAGTGACGTGAGGCCAAGTATGGTGACTTGGAATTAGTGCTCTGCATTTAACCCATCCAAAGTGCACACACACAGCAGTGAACACCCACCCACCGTGAACACACAGCAGTGTGTAACCATTTATGCTGCGGCGCCCGGGGGAGCAGTTGGGGGTTCGGTGCCTTGCTCAAGGGCACCTCAGTCGTGGTATTGAAGGTGGGAGAGAGCACTGTACATTCACACCCCCCACCCCCTGCCTGTACGAGACTCGAGCCTGCAACCTTTGGGTTATGAGTCCGACTCTCTAACCATTAGGCCACAACTTCCTTCATTCGCACTTTTCCACAAATTTACAGTGCTCAAAAAACGAAATAAAGCCTAAGCACAATGTATTAACCCGACTGTACTTCTATCCTTCAAAGACTGTTTTTCACTAATGTACAAATGTGCGTACACAATTATCTTTTTAATGCAGCTGGAATCATCCACATATATGAATGTACACGCTTGCATATAAAAAATCCACAGTGAACAAAGCAAAGAGCCCCTGCACTGATGTCTTTTGTACATTATTTCAATGATACCTTCAATGCTCAATGCTCAGACAATGAAAACAAATGTTATTTTCAGAAGCTGGTCTCACTATTGATATCTTTACATATGATATATGCATCAATTTAGTACTTAACAATCAAAGATGTGAAAGTCAACTTGTGTTGTTACTGTTAAATAAAACTACTAAAATCATTTTTGTTCAATTAAATACAGCTGAAATAAAAAATATTGAATAAAACTTGGCAACTAACTGAAATAAAATATGTTTAAGTACTAAAATTACTAGAACTAAAGCTAAATAGAAATATGAAACCCCCAAAAACTAATATAAATGACAAAACCACAATTTACTAAAACTTAAAATAAAATTCAAATGAAAACTGAAAAGATAAAAACAAAAGCTATATTAATAAATACAATAATAGCATTGAAATAATACTGAAATAGCACTGATGTCAATATAAATAAATGCATTTTGATTAAAAATTATATAAATTATTAAAAAAATAATTAAAGCGTGTTATATTAATACGTAAAAAGAAATGTTCTAAACAAGTAGCATAAACTACATAACACTGCAGTGATAATTTTAGACAAACCCTTGCCTGCCTGTTTCTATGGTTACCGCTCAAAGTTTTAAAAGAGATGATGCAAATTATAACAAAAAAAACTGAATCTAATCTTATTCACTATAATAATCAAATACATTTGTAATGATTAAACTGAAACAAAAGCCAACTGAAAAATGATCCAACAACTGACAAAAGACTTCAGCATCCATCAAAAAAAAAAAAAGTACTGTGGCGGCAGCAAGGTACAAGGACTGTATCAAATATAGAATGATTACCATATTTCTATACCATGGCATTTACATGCTACTTAAATGTAAATCAAATCTATTCATCCTATGAAGAAACAGAGAAATGGAGCAGTCTTTCATTAGACTCGAGTTAAAAGTTTACCTGACAAACTCACATCGTCTCACAGCAGGTGGATGCTTTATCCGCAGGCACACAAACAGACCTACTTACTTGTGAATACAAACCAGCATCACTACAAAGCAGGTGAATGTGTGTTTAATTGGTGCATGTAAAAAACAAACTACAGCACAAATATTGCTAAAAATACCAAAGCTACCATTCATATGTTTCTCATCTTCTCTTTTTAAACCAACACGCAGTCATTAAAAACCACCATGTTGACTCAATCAACTATCAAATTTAGACATGACAAGACAAACTAGAGTTTGTTCATGCCAGATGAAGCAACAGTTGGCCAATTGTCACGATCGACCAATCACATGCCAGTGTTAGTGATATACCGTAAATAATACCAAAGGCATCTTACAAACAGGCAGCCTAAACAAAATGGTTTGTAAAACAACGACTAACATAGTGATTCGCCTCTCAGTCTTTTCCAGAGCACTACAAAGCACCATTATTAGATTTAGTTTGATAAGATTTCAGCTGAGAGGCTTTTTTCAATAGGGAAATATGAGTGATGTTAAGTACATTTAACACCTGCTATTGACCTGCTCTTAAACAATTCTGTGGATTTGACTGACAGCCTGATAAATGATGCTATAAAAGTGCTGCACTGCATCTTTGTGTCATGAGGATAAACTCTCGCAGCCAAGAAATTGTACAGTAGTTTAAATTAGTGCTATAGCTAGAAGCTGACACACTCTCTTTAGAATATATGCAAATGGGTAAAGAGTCCTCAAACTTTCTAGAAAGCAATGAAATTAAATGGAGAGCAAAGGAAACGTGTGACGCGTTTGCACAAATCACAATTAAAAACACATATATTTTGACAGTACTATTTCCTTCAACTTAATGCGTGTTGTTTTTTGTTTTTTCCCCCCACATCTTCAGTTTTATCTGTCCAAAAGTGAAAGTTTTACTGTGTCTCTCTGTTGTGAAGTTGTGCAAAACAAAACATTTATTTATTTATTTGCTTGTTTGTTTGTTTGTTTGATTATTTATTTTCCCACATCTTCTTAGTTGTATCTTTCCAAACGTGTCTCTCTGTTGTGAAGCTGTGGATAAGGTGCAAAATGTGACCCTAAATTTTGGAGACGGTGTTGAATAATATTAATATTGATATTATTAAAAATATGTTTGCATTGATAACAATAATAATAGTGCTGTCAAACTATTAATCGCAATTAATCGCATCCAAAATAAACATTTTTGTTTAGATGATACATGTGTGTGTGCTGTGTATATTTATTATGTAAATATAAATACAAACACATACAATATATATTTTGAAAATATTTGCAATGTATTTACATGTATATATTTATATTCATATAATTTATATTATATATAAATATATTTAATATATAAACATAACATCTTTGTCTTAAATATATACTTGCATGTGTGTGTATTTATATATACATAATAAATATACACAGTACACACACATATATTATGTGAACAAAATCTTTAATTTGGATGCGATTAATCATGATTAATCGTTTGACTGTGCAAAATAATAATAATAATAATAATAACTATCACACACTGTGCATTTACTTGCCAATGATCTATGAATGATCTATGAAAGTGCAACATCCAAACACCATGAATATCCTCTGGGTTGTTTGTCTTTCTCTACCCTATTCTTTACTTTCAGTTGTGATGTCTAGAGTTAAACTACACGTACGCATTTCATAGTATTGCACACACTGTTTGTATTCTCTGTGCATGTCAAGAAACGTGAAACCGTGAAGTACAGAGCTTGGGCAAACTGTTGCACTGTGTACAATAATACTGTCACCACATGCAGAAAAACAGCAGACACATTAACCAGGGCTGACGACACTCGCGAGGCCTGGTTACTGCCACCGCGTCCGGCCTGGAGCCCCAACGGGAGGTCCAGAACGCAAGTAATGCCATTACAGTGGCTGCCACAAACCCAATGAGATTATAGCCCTGCAACTGGTTTATCGGAAATTCAACTATAACGATCTTTCATCTGGTTTTGCAACAAGCTTTTGCATCCAAAAGCCTGAAGGAATTTAGTTGTTTGGGTACATCATTTTTGTTAATTATATCAAAAACATCTTTCAGTTAGTAGATAAGGCAACATTTCTAATTTCATTTAAAGGAAAAGTTCAGGATTTAAAGGCGTTTAGCATTACATCACTGGATTCTCTGCACTGAATGGGTGCCATCAGAATAAGAGTCCAAACATCTGATTAAAAACTTCACAATAATCCACATAATTGAAAAATCCACCAACATATTTGTTTAGAACTATTTTGGACTGTTATAAATGGTGCTAGATCTAGGCATATTTCTCTCCTGATTCAGACAAGATGACTTTTTCACTGGAGAAAGCAATATTATGGATAGAGAACTGTATTTTGGCCAGAAGCAACATTTTGATGTTAAAAAAATGCCTTAATTATTGATTTATTACAAACACACAGCTTTTTACTTCACAAGATGTTAATTGTTGGACTGGAGTCGTGTGGATTACATGTGGATTATTATGATGTTTTTATCATCTGTTTAGACTCTCATTCTGACGGCACCCATTCACTGCAGAGGATCCATTGGTGAGCAAGTGATGTAATTCTAAATTGATGTAATGCTAAATCTGTTCTCATTTTTGGGTGTACTATTAATTTAAATTACTGATTGGAAATAAAATAAATAAAAATTAAAAATTAAAAACTAAAATAAAAAATAAATTTAACCTAAATATGAATATTTTAAAAAGTGACAAAAATCACTTAAAATTACAAATAGTAATTATAGTAAGAATTACTCAAATTAATAGAATTTAAAATAATATTGTTATATAATATTAATATAATTTTAGTATAAATAATAGAAAAGAAAAAAAAACACTGCTCAACAGTAGTTTGATTTCAATAAAAGCCAAAAAATGTGTTTAAAGTAAGTATTAATTTGTCAAAACCATTCAAACGGGATGATGAAAAGAAAAACATCCTAACAGTTACCTCTCCGGATATTTCCCACAGTGTACAATGTACAAAGCATACAGCAGATTGCCAAAGCTTGGAGGGGGTCTATCATTCATAATTCTGGAAACAAGCAGTCAAAACTTTTCCCTCCATCTGTACGATAATTTCATTCCAAAACGGAGTCTTTTGCGTCATTCTTGTGTCATTCCCAGTCTTCTCACATACACACAGCTTCCGTTCGGCCCATTATTCCTCTAATAGCCCACGCTAAGAGGCCCCCGGTGTAGAAGACATTGGGCTTGGACAATATGCGCCCACACGATGCCAGGTGAACTGGGACACATGTGGGTTTGGGATGCTGCCCTTTAATACGTGATGAGAAGGAAAGTCACATTGTGGAAGAAAATGACAAAGAAAGTTGTAATTGAACGACGTGCGTCATCAGACATCTGTCAACACTAGCTGTGATCTAACGATGTTGACCAACAGCATTTGAATGTCTTTAAACGCGCACTTGGGATAAAACTACAATGTTACGAAAAAGAAATTCAGATCAGGGATTTGTCTCAAAATGAGAAACAATATATAATGAGACAAAATAACAAAAATACAATGTTAGCGTATAATAACTTATATTAAAAAGACATTAGTAAATGTGATGCATTTCTTGAATATTTCTTATAAATACTGTCTACATGAAATTCCATTTCTAACTATTGCAGCCAACATGAAACAATTTACAAACCATTTTAATTCAGTTAGGCAAAATATTTCTGATGTGAAGATTTTTTTTTTCTTTTAAAGAATTTTTTTAAAATGCAATTTTTTTTCAAATATAAAAAAAGATTTAAGTGATTAATACCAGAATGTATCAGGTGTAGAAAAAATAAAGAAAGAAAAAAATTGACGTAATATTATCTTTTAACTTTTATATAAACCAGAAACATGTATTAAGAAAGTCAATCATGGGCCAATTTTGATTTCATGTTGACTTAATCTTAATTTGTATAGTATTCTATAATATATGGAGTTATGTTCTCATCATCTGTGTTTTAGGTAGGACTGAAACAATGTGTTGAGGTTAATGGCTGCTACTCACTTGCTGAGGGGGTGTCGGAGTGCACCGGTGGTGTCGAAGGGACAAAATTGGGGAAAAAGAAGGAGCGGAGTGAGTGATCGGAGTGGAGAGGAGAGCGCTGGGTCGGCAGGTTTTCACAGCTTCCAGCCACACTGCTGTGGATCTTCAGGTTCAACGGCTTGTTCTTCTTTTTTGCTCTACAAAGAGAGTCAGAGGAAAAACAAATGAGCCCAAAATAAGACACGATCACAGTGTTTACAATGTTGTATCTGGTTTCAAAACAAGCTCTTGCACGTCATGCTCCAGAAACAGATTTAGCTTCAAAACTCTGAATAGGTTAAATCACATGCACATGCATGCTTATATAAACTCATGTACTCAAAAAAAGAACTGATTAAAATTATGGCTTGAGTGGCTTGATTAGGGTTTGGTTGAGCATTTTAACCAAGTCACACACCTGTCTGTTAAGCGCCAGAATGCAGTGCAGATTTAGAGATCTTTAAATCAGTCTTTAGACTCTTTAGTAATAACAACCGAACCTAATGAACAACATTTTGTTGGTAATTTCTAGTAATTTTTGGTAGCAATTTTCTTCTTAGGACAGGACAATATTTGGCCGAGATACAACTATTTGAAAATCTGGAATCTGAGGGTGCTTATCGACCTGATCAGACATGAAAATATGTTGTGGCACTATCGTGCAGTCTATAAAAAAAAAATAAATAAAAAATAAAAAAAAGGGGGAAGTCGTGGCCTAATGGTTAGAGAGTCAGACTCATAACCCCACTTCACTTATAATGACATGACGTTAGTTAGCAAATATTAGCGATTTTCTGCAAACAGTTCTTTGAGTAACATGACCGTAAATATGAACTCACGATTGAATGTAACATAAAACAAATGATTGCTTTTCGTTAAAATCTTTATTATGCCAAAAATGCTTACATTTATTTGTCTTTTTGTTCGCTCGGGCAGCCATGTTGCCCTGAAGCCGGTTTACGCTGAGATAAATCATACCCATTCGTTTGAAGTGTGGTCCCAAAAAATCTTCTTTTGAAGGGCTGTCTGGCCCTTCCCCTACCCCTACCCCTCCAACCAAAAGAGAATTGAGACACCCCTACCCCTTCACGTGAACGCGCGTGAGGGGAAAGGGGAAGGGCTAAGGGGTAGAATTGGGATTGGGCCTTAATATCCTAATGATTTTTGGCATAAAAGAAAAATCTATAATTTTGACCCCTACAATGTTTTTTTTTTTTTGCTATTGCTAAAAATGTACCCAAGCGACTTAAAACTGGTTTTGTGGTCCAGGGTCACATATCAGTAGGACACACAAGCTTGCACTGTTACACAATGTTGCTTGCAGCATCTATGAGAAACTGCTTATTTAGACACAAGTTTGCTTGTGAACTCAAGAAAGCTGTTCTCCAACTGAGTCACACAATGAGAGATTTCTGGCTTCAAACAATGAATAAACAGATCACAGCTTATCACGAGGGCACAGTCAGCAATTAAAAAACACATTATACCATTCAAATCCAATTAGATCCATTTATTTTCTTTGTGGGTGCATGTTTGCAAGGGCAGATGTCGTGATTTTCAGAATATCCTCCTTTCTTGTCTATGAATATGTCGTCATGTCACCTTTCTCTTAACCTAATTGAGTCTATAATGTTTAATAATCAACATAATAATCTAATAATGAAACAGACTTGGAAACAACTGTGAATTCTACTCTAGATATTTTCCCTCATGATGTCATGATGTCTTCACAGTGAGAAAATGAACTGCCAAATCCAGATGCAGCTGAAAATATGCATTCGCATGCAGGGGTGTAGTGGGTGTGTGGGGGGGGGTAGGGGGAATATAACCCCCCAATAACCAAAACTAGCAAGAATATAACCCCCCCCCCCATATTTATACCATGGTTAATAGAAACCTCGAATCAGGCTATTAATTAATTATTGGAATTAATGATATTATATGGCACTTTTATAAGCGCTAACTTCACGTACGAACTGAGCGGAGCAGAACACAATATGACTGAAGCGCAGTTCATGAACGGTGTGCGAATCACTGTATACTCTGCGCGCTCGAGAAGCATGATAAGAATTGCGCGAGCCATTCCTATCGCAAAGCTGATGGTCAAATATGTGATCTATTTGAATTATTTAGAGAAACAGCCACTTTAAAATGCTATGGAGAAAGTGGAACAGTATCTAAAAAAGGCAAATAAACTAAAAAGACTGATGAAAAGAGGAGAAAACAGTCTTGAACCACCACTAACATACTGTATATTAAAATCTTTTTAAACTACTCATGACCACCTTTACTAGAATTGATCACGCTTTATTGTAGGCTTATTTATTGTGTAAAATTTAGTCTAACTTGTTATAGAATTTATTTTAGATAATCTGTTAAGGGAATAGATTTTTTTCCCCCTATAGATTTATATTACAACTGTGGCATGTTGTAGCTATTGGTTCTAAATGTGCAGGCGGTTGTTTCTTCATAACCAATGCTATATTGTTTAATTAAAAAATTATTGGCCTGGTAATGATTAATAGGCTAGTCTTATTATAACAAATGCGACAATTAAGAACTATGGTACATGGCCTTCAGATTTTCCAAAAGATGGCATAGATTAAATCATTAAGAGCCTGACAAACTGTTAAGGAGTAAGAAATAATATCAATATGAGAAAATGTCAAATTAGATTGACTTCCCATGGCATGTTGAATTAGAACATTATATATATATATATATATATATATATATATATATATATATATATA